AGTTTACATTATTACACAGGATTATAAACAAAATTTTGATACAGAGAATTTTAATATAAAACATGAAAAAAAATTTTCCCCCTAATTGAAAACCAATATTTTTTAATTAAAAAAAAATATAAAATTTAGTGTGAAATTAAAAATTGCTTTATTTTTATTCCCCCTGGGATATTTGGAAATCGTTATAACTATGCTAACAGAAAAAAAACACACACACAAAAATGGCAGAGATGTATAAATGCAAAAAAAAGGAAAGAGAGGAAAATGAAGGGAATTTGCCAGAAAGAGCAGTGAAAGAAAATGGCGAATAGAAATGGAGAGAGGGGAAGGGGGTAGAGGGGGGTAGAGAGAGAATAAGTTTGAAGAGTTTGAACTTGGGCAATTTGCGAATCGTTTTAATAAGATTCATCTCACCCCTTTCTTCACTCTCTCTCGTTTCATCCTTTAACATTCCATATTCTACTTTCCCCCTCCCTCTTACCCCTCTTCATTTTCCTATTCTCCTACCCCCCCTTAATGCCTTAATGTCCCCTTATCTAAATAATTATTCCTGACTTATCGTTTTATGAAATTTAAATCATGAAAGGGAATATATTTTTTTTTTGCGACAAAAAATATTTTCTGAATTCTGACTTTATCACTAGTCTTAATTATAAATAAAATAAATAATTTTAAATAAAATAAATAATTTTAAATAAAATAAATAATTTTAAATAAAATTAATAATTTAAAAAAAATGAATAAAATAAACAAAAAAGATAAATAAAAATAAATAACAGATAATTAGTGAAGAAACAACGACGAACACATGTTTCCTATTAATAGAAATTTAAGAAAGAAATTACACTTCCGAGGTGGTCCAATACCGACGACGGACAAGCGGAAGAGAATAATGTTGGAGGAAAAAAAAAGAAGTCATTAGAGAAATGATGTCACTTTAGGCGAGAGAATAACCCTTTTTTTCTTTTTTTTTGCTCCCGTTCCGGGGAATTATGCGAGAAAAGCCCCGCACTGTAACAAAATCTGTCGTCGCTTGTTGAACTCTTACGTATCTATATCGACTCTTAAGTAAAAAAAAAATTTAAGAAAAAATAAATAATTCAGAGAAAGGGAAAATAAATTTCCCCCTCGTTATTAAACTGCCAACTAGAGAATTTTTGCAAGAATTTCAAATTAATTAGACGTAAAACTTAGCATTCTGCCTGTGGCGGTTCAGGGAAAAGAAAAGATTTCTATTACCGACATTTACCATCGTCAATGGTTCGCGTCCGTGCTAAATGGAGAAAGAAGAATCTTTGAATTAAAAATGATGGAAGATTTTTTCTCTGAAAATTGTAATAAAAGATTCCTGTTACCGACATTTACCATCGTCAATGGTTCGTGTCCGTGCTTAATGAAGAAAAAATCTTTGAATTAAAATACTAAAGATGTTTTTTTCATTAACGTTACTTTAAATGAAATTTATCCGATACTAAAGAGAGAAATTTTCTGAACATCTTTATTAAGAGGGAAAAAAAAGACAGAAAAAAAGAAAGGGAGAGAGAGAGAGAGAGAGAGAGAGAGAGAATAAAAAAATATACAAGAAATAAAAGAAATTTATCTCCAGTGGTATAAACAAACTTGTCAGTGTCGAGTTATTTCAATAAAATTTAACGCGATGAATGGCAAAAGATAAGTTTTTCAAAGTCACTCTCCTCTTGGTATTAAAAAAAAAAGAAATAAATATATTTATAACATTTTTTAGAAACAGAGAAAGGAAAAAGTGTCTGAAATAATATTCAATTTTTCTCCGCTTTCCACCGCCGCTGACGCGTTATTGCTGTCTTATTTCGAGTTATTACTGTATAATACTGTCAGTTTCTATCTGTCTTTAGCAACCCTTTTGCTTCCTTTCCCCTTTAAGTCTCGCTCGCGCCACCATTTTTATTTTATCAACTTTCCCCTTTTTTTTCGTTCACTCACTCTCTCTCTCTCTCTCTCTGCTTTTCACTTAGGCGGCGGATCAATTTCAACGTAAGCTCGCACGATGCGTCCACTTTTGTCTCCCGGACACAAAAATTCGATCGAGCATTTCCGCTTCACGCGCCTTTCAAGTTGATATAACCAAACAGGACTCGAGACACCTCGTTGGAAAATGTAAATACTCTCATTGAAAATGGATTGCGAAAAGCTTTTGATTGAGAAATTCCGAGAATATTTCCACGTTTTACAGGCAAATTTATTTACACATCCAGACGATAAAAAAAAGGTATTTTTTAGGTTAAATTAAACCTATTTTAAATTATGTTAAAATTTATGAATAAATGAGGTTCAGAGTCAAAATAGGTTCAAACTTTGATCAAATTTTAACCAAATTATGTTCCAAATTGGGTCTCAAAATTGGGCAAAAGTGGATTTTAAATTAGGTGAAAGTAAGAATTAATTAGGTTCAAAGTAGGGAACCTACTAATTGGAATAATTTGGAAAAGTAGGTTAAGTAGGTTCAGTAGGACTGATTTAATAGGTACTATTAAAATTGGGCAAAATCGAGGGCAAAATAGATTCAAAATTAGGTCAAAGTTGGGCAAAGTAGGTTTCAAATAGGACTAAAATTGGTTAAAGTAGATTCAAAGTTGGGTCAAAATGAATTGAAAATTAGGTCACAGTAAGTTCAAATATGGACCAAAGTAGATACAAAGTTTGGTCCGAGTAGGTTCAAAGTTGGGCAAAGTAAAAATTAATTACGATCAAAAGTAGAGTCCCAATTTGAAAAAATAGGTTTTAAGTAGAATTAGAATTAGTTAAATTATATTTAAAGTTAGGTCCAAAGGGGTTCAAAGTTAGGTCACAGTAGGTTCGAAGTTGGGTCAAAGTAGGTTCAAACTTGGGCAAAGTAAAAATTAATTAAGTTCAAAAGTAGGGAGTCAAAATTTGAAAAATAGGTTTTAAATAGGATTAAAATTGGTCATAGTAGATTGAAAGTTGGTTTCAAAGGGGTTCAAAGTTAGGTCACAGTAGGTACAAAGTTGGGTCAAAGTAGGTTCAAACTTGGGCCAAAGTGGTTTCAAACTTGGGCCAAAGTGGTTTCAAATTGACGTTAAAATAGGTTCAAACTAAGGTCAAATTTTGATTAAAATAGAAGAAAGATAAAGTTAAAATGATTATAGAACAAAAAAATATGTTAAATAGGCTAAAAATAGGTTCGAAGTTAGGCAAAGTAAAAGTATGTTCCAAGCAATGGCAAAATTTAGCAAAATTGATTCAAAATTTGTTTCACACTACTATGAAACTAAGGTCAAGGTAAAAATCATGATAGTCAACGTTAGCTTATTCAACGTTAGCTAATGAATTATCCAACACTATCGTTTCCAAGAACAAGAGCAAAGAAAAAAAAAGTTCATCTCGTCCTTCCACTAGTTATACACATAAAAACGTGTTCGTAGGAAATTTTCAATCAAGCGCGGCGCAGTAACAAAAAACTTTTCCAATCTATGTAGCGAACCGTTATTGAAGACAGTTTCCTGAATCATTATTTCCCTCTTATCATAGGCCTATCGACGAATATTATAATGGACGTCCGCTTTTGATAAACCGGTCTTGATACTGAAGAAAAAAAAAGAAGAAAGAATGAAAGAGAGAATCCTTTCATTGAATAATAATGCAGGGATCGCGCGCGGTGTCTATTGTAGAGTACATGTCGCCCCGTTAAGTGATCGTCGGGGTGGATTCATTCGACGCCTATTAATTTAAAGGAGCCGGTTTTCCCAACGTTCACATCGATATATATCCTCTCTCTCTCTCTCCCTCTTTCGTGTATAAGCCCGTTCTTCGATATCGAGAACTCAAAATCATTAATTCTCGACGTAATTTCCTATGGATCTCCGTTTGCTCCTCGTGTAGAACAAGGCTGCACACGCTTTTGCAGCTCCTTCCGGCAAGTTATCGATTTCAAGTATATACGGTCGACGCTCTTTAATATATAAGAGAGAAGACGAAAGAGTTATTTCTCGCCATTACCTTTCTCTATTTCAAATTTTCTCTATGAAATTATTTCATAAACAAAAAAAGATATTAAAATATTTAAAATAGAGACCCTATTATTATCATCATCATCATCAGTGAGGTTCTCCAATGTACTAAAGACTTGTAATCAATGATGTAACATAATACCTGATGCACAAGTACTTTATTAGTGTGTTACTCCCTCAGGATTGTCCAGGGAATAATTAGGTAACGGCTTACATAATCCACCTGCGCAGATATAAACTCCCAATGGTGTGATGAATTCACTGCAGGTGAATTCACAAAGAATGCCCACGGGAAATTCCTCTCTTATATATCCCTTTTTGCCTCCCCCCCACCCCTTCTCTTGCGACTCGTAAACTAGAATCGATCATCTAGTCGCATAAGGTCATTTATCTGGAAAAGGAAGAAGAGGAAAAAAACAAAAGGGATTCAAATTGCAAAAATATGTCCTTTCGTACAATATGTCCTTTCGTCCTTTGAAGATGATTCCCCCTTTTGTGCTAATAATCCTTGTGAATTCGACACGTGTAGTATTTAACAAACGAGGAGCGATGAGATTTAATGAATTTCAGCTTCAGAAGCTAGGGAACTTTAACGAAATGCAAAAAGCTTGTTAGTGACATTGGATCTACTTTATCTATTAAGATCTGCCAGGCTGAAAATACATCCATTTTGCCCACAGTTTTTTCGACCCTAGCCCCTTGAAAAGTTTCTCCAATTTTTAGAATTTGACCCTTGTTTGGATTTTTGAAACTATTTTGGATCTATTTTGGGTTTTTGAACCACGTTGGGGTCCTTGAACCTCGTTTAGGTCTTCGAACCTAATTTATCCTGCTCTAGCAGGATAAATAAGTAAAGAACCTAGTTGCCCCTAATTGTCCTCCTTGAACGTAAGTTCAAGGAGGACAATTAGGGGCAAACTAGGTTCTTCTTAACTTCGCGCATGATGATAATTTTCAGTAATATTTTACAATTTTTGATAATTTGAAACTTACCGGAATGGCGACGCAGTCCTCGAGTTCAGCGAGAGGTGCCTCTGAACAGAAAGTACCCTCGGTGAGGAAGGGCGGCCGCGGGGGTGGCGGCAGCCGGAACTCAGGGGGTGGCCCGGAGCAGTCCGGGCACTCCGTGGTCTCCAGCGTCTCCAACTCCTCCATCCTCCTCCCGAGCGTGCTGAAAACCACAAAGAAAATCATTGACGATTAATCTTATTGGCAGAACTATTAATCGGAGGGCAAAGAATTACCGCTCTTCGCGCCCAGTGTCATTTTTTATCACCTCCCCCTTCACTCCACAATTCGTCGAATCACTTTCATAATCTCCCCTTAAAAAATACAAAGGGAGGATTGAAAAAATTAATTTACTGTTTTGGTAATTTTATTAATTAAACCTAAAATTTAGTAATTTTTGTAAAAATAATAAATAAATCTCCCCCCTGTAAAGTGGGTTGTATCTGTTTTTTTTTTAATAAAGAAACGCCTTTTTGCCCTTCGGAACGATCTTGAAGATGGCGACCTAGTTAGCATAGGAAGCATTCTAGGGGCGGGTCAAGTCGTTCCAGTTGAGAATTCCGCGACTTTTAAAATAGTGATGGTGGTGGTTGGTGTATGCTAATGTCAGAACTTAATTACAATCTCATAATGAATCAGTCACGCCTGCCTCATTCTCTTTTTAGTTTTATACACCACACACACACACATTCAGGCTGATGAATTGTTTTCCAAGTCTCTTTCTTTTTTCCACAAAAAAAGAGAGAGACTTTGCCATATACGTGCGTCTCATCCGATAAGGCCTTTGAATCGAATTCTATATTGCGCGGAAGGGAACAATTTATCCTCGCTGAAGAGAAACAAGAATGAAAAGAAGAAGAAGTAGAATACATACTGATTAGAATTTCAAATTGGCAGCCATGATTTTTCGGTAATTCGTCGGCTTCCCAAGTTCCAATTAAAAGGAGCCGACTCCCAAGCACTTAGAGCCAATTTCCCTATGGAAGTGTTTGTGTATGGCGCGAGAATGATCTCAGGATTTGCAGGTCCATTCTTTGCAAATGCGTTTCACCTCCGGGGCACACGTGAGATTTATCGCGTCTTCTAAACGAGGGACGATTAGGATTTTGAAATACCACTAAAAATCGTGGGATATCATTTTGAAAACGTTCCGAGGATGTGATGGCGTGACCATACAAGGACATAACATTGGAAAATTGTGTAAAACTTTGGGATATCCCAAGGAAATGCCAAAAACATCTTAAGCGTCGTGCTAAGGGTCCGAATACTTCCATTCATCCTGGAGATTTCATAACGTGTTTAGGACACATCCACTGGGTTGGAAACAAACGTAATTAAATTCCGGTTTGTTCGACATTCGATTCCACGGTATTTTATAACAAATGTGAAGTGGATAATAATTGTGGAAAATATTAGCAGAAGGTGGATCTGAATATTAAAACGATTTGTAATCTAGATTGGAAGGAATAATAAATCAGTTTTCTGATTCGATTTTGGAGAGCCCGGGAGAGAGGAAGGACGATAGCCAAATAGAATTCACGCGTAGGTATTCAATTTCGACTCCTATAAGAATTGAGAAAAGGAAAGGGAATGGCGAAAGAGAAAAAGGGTATATCGCTACTGCAGTATTTCACATGTACGTAAGGATAGTTCCTAGGGAAGAGCACGTCCCGAGTTTAATAAATGCAGTCTTCGTTCCGTTTTCTTGGCTTGCCATCGAACAAAACTCTTTCTCTAACAAAAATTTCGTCGTCCCTCTCTCTGTCTCATTCCGCATGCAGAACACAAGAACTCCACCTCGAGTCTCTCTCTCTTCACGAAGAAGGAAAACCCAGTTCGCGTGATTTTTATTTAATTCCAAAACCTCCAATCTCTCTCTCTCTCTCCCTTCTGTTTTTAGTCTCCGCGATTTACTCCTTGGAGAAATTTTTTTCTGGAGAAAATACACCTACATTTTTTTTGTAGAAAGGTGTCGGAAATTTTTTTTCCCTTTGAAGAAGGAGTAAATTATTTCATCCCCTAAAAATAGTGAGGGGGAGAAAAGGAAATTATTAGTCTGGTACTTATTTTCACCTTAGTCAACGAGGACAAAACTTTCCATAACGAAGAAAGGGCTATGAGGGTATCGAAAAGTTCTTCGAGTCCTTCGAGTCCCGCCACCAATACGAAAACTTTACGGCATACCGCACTGGGGTAACTTCCACTTAAGGAGGAGGAACGTGCTGAATTTGTCGATCGAGTTCCTCGTCTTCGTACAACTTCTTAAATACTCCCCTTGATTTTCGGAACAGATCAATTGGTATACCGATTAACGAAACTTGGAATTAAACTTTATTTACTGTTTGGGAATCCCTTGAAATTGTTATATTTTAATTGTGATCAAAATCTATTGAACCATTCCAATAGATAAAAACCCTCAAAATTTTTAGCGAAAAGCTTTGGCTATATTTAGCTAGAATTTGCCATTTTTTCTATTTCACGCTGGGTCTTTTATACTCAACATAAAAAACCCAACACATCATCAAAAACTAATCAGGATCCTTACAAACGGAAACTATAAAGACAAATTTATCAAAATTTAAACTTCCCTTCGTGGAAAATACACCCAGAGTTTTGAGTACCATTCAGAAGGGCAAAATTCAATGAAGTCATATAGTCGGGAAGATAGAATGGCATTTCCGAATGCGACAAAGAAGAATGTAGCCATACGTCACTCTCTTTTCCGCAGCGCTTACATCTCATGCAATTTCTCGCATCTCGGTGCAAAATATTCCGGCATATATGTTTGCGTATGAGGGAGAATGGGAAGAAGAGGGAGAAAAGGAGAAGGAGAAAAAGAGAGGGAAAGAGAAGGAGAAAAGCAGAGGGAAAGAGAAAAAGAGAAAGAAAGAGACATAGCACAGTCAATGATACGAAGACGTTTGTATCGTCGCTAGACGGGTTTATGAGTGGTGTGCATTCTCCAAAAAGGGGAATGAGGCAGCAGCAGCAGCAAAGAAGTGTGTGCGGAAAAAAAGAGAACAACAACTCAACACATCATCAGTGAGTGTGGAACAAGAGAAAGAGTTACACCATCACAAATACTTATAAAATGGAATGGCGCACACAAAAGTACACGTGCTCTCCCCTCCGCGGACAAAACACTACAATTGCAAAGGGTGCACCGAGCCAAGAAGTGCCCAGAGAGTGAGACACGTCGCGAAACTCGATACACCAGTAAACACACATCTATCCACACACAGTACCCATTACCACAAATACAATTCCAGAACCGTGGGATTCACAAATCTATAAAATCCACACATAGAAAAAACATTTTAACCAGAAGAATTTTTTCCTATACCTCATGGTGATGGGAGAAAGAAGAGGATGAAAACGTCCAGAAAAATAAAGTCGAATGGCGTTAAAAGAAGAAAAAAAGGAACTGCCTCCTCAGTGGGTGAGAGTGGCTTTTTTTCCGTAAGGGGATCGGTCAAGAGAGGGAGAGAAAGCTTTACGTACTCTGGAGGATCAGACAAACACACTTGGAATTGGAAGCTAATTCCTTAAGTCCACGATTTTCGTTGGATTTCACGGTTCCAATTGGACTTATCGGATTCGAACAGTGAGCCAAGAAAATAAGTATAGCTACTTGAGAAATTATATTCAAGTCGAATGGAAACTTTTGTTGTACTGGATTCGGAGGAATTTGGAATCGTAAATAATTGCTAATTAGGTTTAATACAAAAAGGAAGTATCAGAAATATGTAGGTTTATTACAAAGGAAAACTACAAGGAAGATACTCAAATGTCGAATCAAAATTAGGTCCATGGTGTCCCTAATTATGACCATGGTCACAATATACGAATTTACAGAGATTTAAACATAGTTTTCCCGTTGGGTACGACTATAGCTAGCGTTGGACCATGATTAAAATCTAAAAATTCTAAGGTTCTAGAACTATTTTAGCCATTGCCCCTAGCCCTGACTTTTAGTTTTTCTCCAAGTTGTTTCGTTAATTCAGCAACACACACACAACACTTGCCCCACTGTTTTGTCGAACACAGAGAGTTCTCTATCGGGATTTCTGGTTTTAGTGTCAAAAGAGCAACTAAGCCAGCGTAAACCCGAGGAACTCGTTTAACTGTGCAACGCTCAAATGACAACTGGAATTAAATAAAAGGGGACAGACTAACAATGGATGTAATACCGTCTAATACCGTAACACAATATAAACTCTGCCACACGCAGTCTTGTCCTCTCATATATATATATATCACACATACACAAGTGAAATAGGGTTTTAGAAAAGCGCTGCAGCTCATGTCATAAGGCTTTATCGTGACAAATGGCGACGTCGGTTTGAAAATTTGCCTAATTAAGCGTAACGAGTCCGGGTCTCTCTCACAACGCGCGGTGTGTGTCTAACGCGACATAATTCAAATACGCTATATATGCACCATGGAGTTGCGTGCCTCGCCAGGTGACACATTCTGTAATTCTATTATGAAAATGTTGTCATGAAGGCAAAAAAAAATTATTACTTCGAAAAAGAATTTTGGTTCATTTATTCAAAGTATGGTTTGAAAATTTAAAAAAATATTTTTTCTTTGCCGCAGGAAGAGCAACACCTTCAATCAAAGAAACCGGTTAATAAATCTCGAGTTGATTTACGATCAGAACTGTGCGGGTATACTAAAATAAATTGTTTCATTTCAGTTACATATGTATAAAGCAGGACTTACTTATAATTAGAATCAGTGAAGAAAATACATGGACTAAAATCGTTACACACTATATATACGTCGATCCGATATCCCTTTAACGAGAAACTTTCTAATTGGTCGTTAACGAAGCAACTTTTGGCTGCAGCAGGAGGAACATTAAAGACGAGTGAGTACCCTTCTCCCTACGCTATTTATTGGGTTGAATTCACCCCTTTTTGATCCACACCTGTGTTTCAATTCTCTTTCGCAAAAAAAAAAATCAATATCACTATCAAAATTAACAAGAGAAATTTACAAAAAAACGCGATGAAATGTTGTCACATTCGCGTATTTTTTTTTTTTTTTGTAAATTTCTCTCTCTAGTGTGGTTAGAAAAAAGAATATTTTACGATTCAGGGGTTAATTTAATTATTTTCTTCCTCGTTTCCTCTTTGTTTCGTAGAAAAAGAAAGAGAG